TTTAAAAGGGGGGGGGGGGGAGTAAGGTTAGCGGAGTGTTCAAGATATCTGGGAGGGACCATGGTGCTACTAAATGGCTTTCAAGTGGAGTGTTGGTAAAAAAGGAAGTGTCATGCAACCAATCCCGTATATGGGGAAAAGACTGGTCAGATTGTAAACCCTAATGTCAGGAAGATTAGCACCTACATTCCTTACTGGTTGTTGCAGCTTTTGCAAGGCCACTCTCGATTTTTTTCCTCTCCAGAGAAATCGTGAGAAAGCTTTGTTTAAGGGAAAGGGTATCGTTTAAAGTGGATATAGCAGTCTTGCAAAACTAACTATTTTTACTAAATGGCGTCTGACCAGAAGAGAAATAGGATAATCTTGCTATGACCGTAACGCTTGCATTATTTTGTTAATAATCGGTCTATAGTTTAAAGGAGTGCAAGTCCCTGGCAGAGCAGGGAATAGATATACCTAGATATGTGAGGAATATTTTGTCACTTTGTAGAGAGGGGTGTGCACGAGAAAGGGCATCTGTAAATAGCTTATCGTGGGTTAATAGGAAAATTTCACATTTATTTACATTTATTTTAAGACCAGAGAAGGAACCATAGAATTTTATGTGATTCAGAATTTTAGGAATTTGGACCAGTGGATTGGTCATAAGTAACAAGATGTCATCTGCAAATAAGGCCAATTTAACATCAAAAGGACCGGATTGAAAACCATTGTATATGAGGTTGGAAGCCAGAGAACGGAATAATGGTTCAATAGCATTACTGAACAGGAGCGGGGAAAGCCCTGGCGGGTACCCTTAAACAAATGGGAGGAAGAAAGGGCAGATGATGTGTAAATTTGTGCAGTAGGAGAGCTATACATAGTAGAAATATAATTCAAGAATGCCCGAGAAAAACCAAAACGTTGCATAACCAATGTAAACCTTGACCAATTCACGTTGTCGAAAGCCTTCTCAGCATCCAGAGCTAAAAGAGCCATTGGTCGAGGAGAAGGCCCCAGACAAGAGAATTCCGTCCAGAGAGGTAACAATCTTCCTAACATTTAAAACAGCTGAGCTACAAGATACAAAATCTGCCTGCTCCAGTGAGATAAGACTAGGCAGCACTTTGGCCAATCTATTAGCCAGAATTTTGGAGAGCAATTTGGCGTCAAAATTTAAGTGAGATATAGGACGATAGGAGCTAGGGAGGGTGGGATCTTTCCCTTTTTTTTAGGCAACAGCCTAATATAGGCAGTACTAGATGTAACTAGATAACATTCATGGTGTAGGATACGACTAAAAATAAAATAAAATAGAGAAATAGATACTTGATCATGAATAATAAATAAATAATAAAATTTGTCAGTCAAGCCGTCAGGTCCGGGAGCGTTAGAGCCAGAGGAAAGTTTAATTGCTGTCTGAATTTCCTGTAGAGTGACTGCAGCATTCAGTTTGTCCAAATCTGCAGCGGATAGAGAGGGTAAGGAAATTGATTCCACAAAAGAGGAACCAGAGGACATATTTTCCGTATCGGCCACATATAGGGACTGGAAAAATGTACAAAATATGTTACACACCTCATTGGGATCTGATATAACCGCACCACTGGTATCCACTAGTTGAAGTATATGATCAGGAGTGGTTCTAACCCGGACAAAATCTGCCAACAGTCTTCCAGGATTTTTTTTTACATATTTTAAAAATTCTACCTCTTTATGGGAACGAATTTAAAGATCATACTGTGATATCAAGCGATCACAATTCTATTTAGCCTATGACAATAATGACCTATTCACGGGAGTAGGGTTTTGCTTATATGTTAAGTAGGCTGATCTGGTTGTCGTGCATGCTTCTACATACCTGTGCCTTGTTTACCTCTTTTGGGATGTGACATAGGCCAAAAGTTTGCCTCTCAAAACAGCCTTTGCCACTTCCCAAAACAGCATTATCTTGGTGTTCTGCATTATCAGAAGCCTAATGTTTCCCCCAAGAAGTAAGATGGCCTTGAAAAGTGATGTTGTTTGAGACGTGTGATGTCAGCTTGTTGGAAATGTAATAATGCTATATCAACATTTAGTTTTTTAAGTATTAGTCTTCTTTTCTGGGAAGTTTTGAGTCCTTTGATGGGAAGTTTTGAGTCCTCCAATTTCGTCAGTAAGAAAAGTGTGGGACAATGAACAGAACCAGTTATAGTAAGTAATCAGGTAGTTGCCGGTGTCCCATAGCTCCAGAAACAACCCAGGTATGCGAGTCTTGCGAGCATGTGAAAAAAAGAAACGACCAATATTCATCTCGAAAAAGAGTCAATGTAATAAGGAAAACCTTCATCCAGCCAGCTAAACGGTTTTGGCTGCGCCAAACTGACAGCGAAAAAACATGGTAAACATGAGAACTAAGCAACAAGAAAGTCCTATTAGGAACTTCCTTTTTTCCAGATGGCGGCGTGTGATGCAGTGGCTACTAGCAGGGGGGGGGGGAAAAAACTTATCCCGAGAAGTGCCAAGGTGGTGACTGTTACGCGAATCTTCTGGAAGCAACGCCCCATTACTTTCAAAAGAGTCTCTCATAAAAAAAATAAGAGAAATTGAAAAGTAAACTTGAACACAAAGGAAATGAAATTCGATTGGAATCTACAGTGATCCATATTAGCTCAAGACATTAGCCCAGGCAATTTTTCAAGAAACAATTGCCCCTTATACATACAGGCCTTTTTCTTCCAAGGGGGGCTCTTTATCGGTGAAGCTGAAACTGAGAAGTGGTCAGCGAGATTCCCAATCAACATAGGTTTTGGCTTGTGCGGCAGATGTGAATCGGAGGAGTTTTCCATCCGGAGCCGATAAGCGTAGGATTGCTGGGTATGCCAAAATTTACTTTATATGTTCATGAACGAGGATTTGACAGACTTCATGATAGGAGCGAAGTAGTTTGGATAATTCTGTGGAATCTGCAAACAGCAGCAGGTTATGGCCTCCTGGTACCAGCTGGCATTGCGTTCTGTACGTCTGTAGAATATGATGTTTATCTGAATAATCCAGATATCGAACGATGACTGGTCTAGGTCTGTCAGTATCTTTGAAGGGGCCTCTTCTTTCCACAGAACATACAGAGCTTATACCAGGTGCCTGTGGCATAACTGAGGAGCACAAATGATGCAATTCATTCGGTTTAATGGATTCAGGGACCCCTATGATTCTCAAATTATTCTGCGGGATTGATTTTCCAGGTCATCCACCTTATCCTGTAAATATTGTAGTGTTTTTGTGTCTTCGGCAGCGATCTTTGAGATACAACAGTATGATCCACAAGATCACTAATGCAGAGGTCAAGGGCCTGAAGCCTGTTTGTGCTTCTAAAGCTGTGTTGAGAGGCCCCATATGCAATTTTAGTGAGTCAGCAATAATGGTAGCCACCTCCAATTTCAGGTGAGAGGCCACCGTAGCAGCCAGTTTTATGGCTATAGATTTATGTGTAGGCTGCAGTAAGGACTCTCAAATCATCAGCAATATCAAGGTGCCGCTCGTCGATGTCCGACATGTCAGACCGGCCGTCGTTGTGATCGGATGGTGAGGAGAGAGAGCCACGAACCAGCTGTGACCGGGCCAAGAACTTGTCCATTGCCTTCTGTGGACAGGGGACCAAGTGGTAAATTCAATGTTTGTCGTTGTAGAGACGAAACTATGTGTTTAGATGTGGCAGGACGGAGCTTCGGATCACACTGCTACTCCATCTGGCGCTGGAACCAGAAGTCACTCATCATTTTACAGGTTCCAGGTCAGCGACTTACAGCACAGATGCCAAAGCTTCAGTGTGACAGCAAGGACCTAGCATTTTCAGAAAGAGTTCAGCAAAGCCATGATTCACACATGACAGAGTCCCTTTTAGCATTACACTTGTTCATACACCCACTATACAATTCAATATATTACAAGTATATAAAAAAGCCCATTCACCACAACTGTAAATACATATCTGGAAGTTTCTTGTAAACCAGAATTCTGACACCACTGATATACATACTGCAGTGAGCAAACAGCTTTTTGAATACATTAGACAGGTATATATCATGCAGCTGCCACTGTATTCAAGTAATATTACACTGTATTCCAGGTAGTGTCTAGTAATGGGTAAGTAATGAGGCAAGCTGGATTTTTTTTTTAAATTGCTGCACTGCTTTATTTTTACAAACTGGAGTTTGGCTTTAAAGCAATGCTTTTAAGCCATGCATCAAACATGTCAAGAAATGATACATACCTGATCAGCAAACTGAGTCATATAGTGCTGCAGCCTGTTCTCACTGTCGGTGATTTCACATATCTGCACCAAAATATCAAAATCACAGAACTTCTCAGCAAGACTAGATGCCCATTGGTACTGTCCCAAAGTCACTACAAATGAGGAAAAACAAACATTCTAAACATAATATTATTTTAGAATAACAGAAGATTCTGGGTTAATGACAGTGATCAGTCATTAACCCAGACAGACATTTCACTATCAGCTCAGGATGCTAAATTAGCTTCTAGATTATTTAATGCATCAACAATGTAAAATAGGATTTTTGAATTCACCATACACTTCTGTTCTCTAATATTCATTAAAGAACTCCAGGCAGTTAAAAATGTAACCCTTGCAGTGGGGCCAACCCGCCACTGCAAAGGTTGGGTGCTTATTTTGGCCTATTAAGATACAGGATTTATACAGCGCCAACAGTTTGTGCAACACTTTACAAAGTGGAGGGAGTTACAGTACAATATCAATAGAAGAGGGTTAGGGTCCTGCTTATGGGAGCTTGCAATCTAGTTTTCAAGGATCGCCTAAAGGTTGAGAGAGGAGAAGATAAGCATATTGATTGGTGAAGGGAGTTCCAGAGGATGGAGGCTGTGGAGAAGTCCTGGAGGAGAACATGAGGTCTTAAGATGAGCAGAGAGGATGGTTTGGGTGATATTTTGAGATGTAGTTTGGGGCAGATTTATGGATGGCTTTGTATGTTATTGTTAGTATTTTGAATTGTATGTGTTGGACAAGGATTTGAAATGCACGTTTGGGGACAATATTGGAAAGATATTGGGCAATATGTACATGAGGTGATTTTCATAATCTACAGTGAGGAGCACACATTTCACATTGGACTGGTTGGTACTTGTTTTTTTTCAATATAATCTTATAATTATATAATTTTCTTTTTATTGGAGAAGATGAGATTTTTGTTGTTTATAAGTTTCTTTGGAGTGTTGCCGTCAAAAGACAAATTGAAAGAGGTTAACTGTAAGGTTGTGGCTCAGGCGGTTCTAGAGTAGGCATTAAAGAAGTTTGGAGGTAAATGGGAACAAGGAGATGGGTCATAAATTGTTCAAACTGTTGGGGTCCACTAAGCGCATTTTTAGTATGTGGGTTTTAGAAGGGTGGGGACAATGCCATTAGAAAGGGTGAGATTGAAGATGTAGAACAGAGCTAGATGGTGACCAGAGTAGTTGTGAGGGGATTGGGTCCAGGGGGAATGTGATTAGGTGGGTTTTAGACAAAAGAGGGGCAACTTTGTCTGTGGTAACAGGGTCAAATGAAGAAAGTACTGAATGTGGTGGTATACAAGGTATGTTCAGAGGGGGAAATGTCTGAACATTGGAGATTTCAGAACAAATTGATTCAAACTCATCTTCGAAGTGATTGGTGATTTCCTCGGCAGTCAGTGAGTTCGTTGGAGGAGGGGGACAAAGTAGGGAGTTAAAGGTAGAAAAGAAATGACAAGGACTAGATGAAAGGGTGTTAATGAGTGTGATGAAGTAGGTCTGTTTGGCTGTATGGAGGCAGGTACTGTATTTTTGCAGGGCAGACTTACAACATACAGTATATAGAGTAAAGTCTGGCAGGGATTTGGATTTATGCTACAGTCGTTCAAGAGCACCACTATGTCTTTTGAGTCTTTTGGTGTCATCTGTTTGCCAAGATTGTAGTAAACGTGCCTAATTATTCAAAAGCGAGCTATTGAAGAGAGAGGTGGTAAAGTCAGAGGTGTAATACATCAATAGGACAATACACACACAATAGGTTGGACTTGATGGACATATGTCTTTATTCAACCTCAAATACTATGTAACTATGTAATTTTGTTATAAAGGTAGTCTGTTGCAGAGTAGAGAAGGCTTAAAGTGGCAAAGATTAGGGGTGTGTGGCTAGGGAGCGGATATGGATGTAGGTGAGCGTGCACGAGTGGATCCAGCGTGGATGTAGGTGCTGGCATCCTGAAGCTTTTGAAGCACTGCCTTAACCCGCTGGCATAATATTTCCCCTGGCGCAGTCGGACCGCAACAAGTTTTCGGGTGAGCGGCTGAGGGGGAGACGGGTGCGCGTTGCTGTGCATCAGTGGCCCTCTCCCCATTCTCTCTTGTACCTACGGTACTTGGACTGGGTGTGGAGGTGGACTCATCGCGACGGAGTGGAGCCGTGGGGATACCGCTTATTGTCGCGGCGGGTACAGGCTTGATGGTCGGCTGACGGGTAGGTGAGCTGTTCGTGGACGTGCTGTTGGCTCCCTCCAGTGGCTGAAGGCGGAGGTGCAGTGTGCTGGACTGTGTGGCGAGAGCTATTGAAAGGACTCTTTTCTCTCGGCTCCCCCTAGAGGCAAAGAGGAAAGCTGCAGCTGAACAACATTAGCTCATAATAAATATATAAAAAAAAAATGACCAGGACTGGATCAAAAAAAGGAAACTGTCCAAGAGGCTGCTAGTGGTGGGGGAACCAAGCAATCACCCGGTGGGCTTAAACAGGCTGGTAAAGAGAAACAGAAAGAAGTTGCGTAACGATTGGAAAAATTTGCCAGAGGTAATACAACAAATAAATAAAAAGTGATTAAGTCTGGGAGATAAGTCTCTTTGTAAAGTCCCTGAAGATGTATTTGAGGTGGAAGGGGGGGCACAAGGGGAACTCCGGATATATCTAATGGACGGTTATCTTTATAAAATCCAGAAGTCTCAGGTGACCCCACTCTTAATGTGTTGTCGGCAGTTCAAGTATGTAAATCGACCTTGGTATCTATGGCAGAGCAGATACAAGCTGTCCGAATGAATATATCCTTTCTCAGACAAGATATGCAAAAGATCAGAGAGAGGCTGACCGAGGCAGAAGATAGAATTAACAAGCTGAAAGATGTTAATACTTTTATATCTGCAGACCTTAAAATAGCATTGCAAAAGGTTAATATTAATTCTTGTAAGATTGAAGAATTGGAAAATAGAGCAAGACGCATTAACATCAGAATGGTAGGAGTACCTGAACAGACTGAGGGTTAAATCTGGTGGCGTGTATGGAAAAATGGATATTACAGACAAAAGGAAAAGAATATCTATCTCCCATGTTTATGATTGAAAGAGCCTATACAATTCCTGCACACACTCATGTATATGGGAATTTGCCAAGGACTATGGTGATTAGAGTGGCCAACTATAGAGACAAGGAGGCAATCCTCCGTAAAGCTGGACAATTGGGAGCTATATCTATGGCAGGTGCAAGAGTGATGTTATTCTCAGACTTTTCACAGGATGTTCAGAAAAAAAGGGCTCAATATCAGGAAGTGAAAAAATGAATGTGCCAAATGAAAATACTATATGCCCTGCAATATCCAGCGAAAATGCGTATAATTACTCATGAAGACTTATTTTTTGGAATCTCCTTTAGCAGTTTCGGACTGGTTGGATAAATATCCTGTCAGTGATACAAGAGGCTATGAGCAATAATTTGGAATTGGAGTATAGAGTATATTTGCTTCTGAGTATTAAATACACCATGCTGAGATCTGGAGTGTAAGATGATTGTTTGGTTGAAGTTAATGTCTCTAATCCCCTATTTGGCTCCTGAGTGGAGTATTTATATGTGGGAGGTTAATGTCGAAATGGGGTGTGGTGTATTTTTTTTGTGTTTCTGTGTTTTGTTTTCTTTTTTCTAAAATACCAAATTTCTACTTACATTGGAGGGCTATGTTCATTAGTACCAAATCTCTAAACTGGAGGGCTATGTTCAATGGTTGGGAATTGTAGTATATGGTAGTATGATCTGCACATAAGAACTAAATATCAATGGATAGGAAAAAAATATCAATAATATCTTGGAATGTCAGGGGTCTGGGGAATAAGATAAAGTGATGCACGTTATTATCCAGCATTATTGTCAATTATTTGTCTTCAGGAAACGCATTTGATGAGATATTGTTGGATGGTTGGAATGCAGATGTCTGCAGTACACAGCTCATGCATGTTACTCTGCATACTCTAGAGGGGTATCAATACTAGTCTGTAAAGGTATAGCTTTCTCATGTATACAAGCATTGTGTGATAAAGAGGGTAGATATGTATTTTTGCATTGTAAAATCTATGACGTAGAATGTGTGCTAGTAAACATATATATTCCTCCTCCCTACTCTAATGAGGTCCTCCGGAAGCGGTTATTATTTATTAAGGATAAGTTACCTATTTATGTACTTGTGATGGGGGATTTGAATAATTATATGAATATGGCACTAGATAAATTCACGGCAAATAAGCACTTGGATATTACAAAAAAACACTTTTTTAAATAGTTTTTGCAAAGAAATAGGGTTATGGGATGTGTGCCGGTTAATGCACCCAGAGGAACACCAATATACATGTTTTTTGAAGACACATAACACATTATCTAGGATAGATTTAATTTTATGTTTGGTTGATGTAATGCCACTAATTAAATCTGTTGAGATACAACCTAGATCACTTTCAGATCACTCACCAAATATCACTATTATTGAAACTGGGGGACGGGTTTTTAGGTTACCTTGGAAATTAAATCCGGGATGGTTAACTATATTGTTAGCACAGGAGAAGTTAGGAAGTGAGATATCAATGTGTTTGAGCACAAATAATAACTCTGGGGGGGCGTGGCCAGGATGTGAGGCTGAACTGCTTCCCAGCTGACCTAATCGGGTTTTTACACTTACCCTCTCCTGGCGGGTGTTCCGGTGACGACTGGCGCTCCGTCCATGCGAACCCGACGGCGATCGGCCCGGAGCGAGCGGTGTGACTTCAGGCCCTGCTCCTGTCACGCGTGCCGGCGCTATCTTGACTGCACGCTCTCCCTCTCTCACTACCATTAGCACACAGACTGCTCAGTGGGGAGACATGGAGCCGGAGGTGAGTGCACATAACGCTGCCAGCCTGCATCCTTCTCAGGGCAAAGACCCTCCAGATGCCACGGACGCCATCCTGGCGGCGATTGAGGCCAGTAAAACGACCCTAATAGCCAGAATGGATACGCTGGCCACAGAATGCGGCCTAATCCGTCAAGATATTGTTATGTGGGATAGCAGGGTGGTTAATGGGATGTTTACTGTTGTACGCTATGGCTCCGATGGCGCCCCTCC